CTTGAAAATTGTAAGGACTAATAATTATCTTAACTGTGTAAGATATATTACATCTGTTTAAAAACATAAATTCACTAGAATAAAAAATAACAATTTAGAGATTAGTTGTAGAAAAAAAATTTAATAACTAATTTTGAAGAAGTAAAAAATAGTTAGAAACCCCAAATAATTCAAAAAATAAGAGTAGTATTGAACTTTTAAAATAACTCATAAATCATAACCACCATCTAATTTAACGGCATCCATCTAAAATTTTAATAGATGGACCATTTATAAGACACTTTTTTAGTTGAAGGACTATTATGGGACAAATTTGAGTATAGGGACCAATTTTAGAGAGAGAAAAGAATTTAGGAACCTTTTATGAATTTATTCCTAAAAAATTTAAATAAATATTATTTTTTTAATTTTAATATGGGCAAATTAAAGTAAAAAACGGTATATTCATGATACATATTTAATAATAGAAGCTTTTGAAAACTAAGTAAAAATAATATAATGTAGATTAAAAAAAAGTAGAGAACTATAAATAGGACGAAGTAAGAGCGAGGAAAAGTTAAATAGAAACACGCATGAGAGAAGAAATTAAAGAAAAGTTATTATATATGATATTATTCCCCAGAATAATATTTTAGAGAAATATAATAAAAGAAAAATTGTTTTCCATTTAAAATATATGTAAATTGATCTGTCTTTGGAAAAATGATTTTGGTAAGAGTAAATTAAAAGAAAATATTTTAGAGAAAAACATTTAAGAAAGTAAATAGGAAAAGAAGAGAGAAAAATCGATGAATAGATGGAGACAACAAAATGTATAGGACAATTTTAAGGGAAAAAAGAAAAAAAAAAAAAAAAAAGAGAAAGAGTGAATAATATGAACATCAAAAAAATAAAAAAAAAGTGTGGAAAAGCCATTTGTAGAAGGAAAAAAATAATAAAAAAAGTATGAGAGGACAAAATAAAGAGACCAAGTTTTTAAACAATGGAAAAGGGAAATTCTCCTATATATTAGTGAAAAATGCGCGCTTCACGCGCTGATTTTAGACAACGGTTATATAAATTGCTAAAAAAAAAAAGAGAAAAAAGATAATATGAAATAAAGACAAAAACGGGACAAGGAAAAAAAGAGCACCTAATGTTGGGGAAAAAATCTTTGCGGAACGTTTCGCATATTCTCCTTCACGCGTGAAATGTTTCATAACAATCCATACAGAACTTATTCACATTTAGATTTCGTTGACTTCGCAGATTCGAGTTTTCAATTCGAGTTGAGATGTGACATTTTCAGAGAACTTTTCACGGTAGCAGAAAAAGTTAAGGCCTCATTCACTTTGCGGATTCGAGTTTTCAATTCGAGTTGAGATGTGACATTTTCTGATAGCTTTTCACTATAGCAGAAAAAATTAGATGCGACATTTTCTGAGAGCTTTTTACTTTTGAAACCTAAAACTGAAAACTCGAATCGGTGAAATGAACGAGACCTAAATGTGACATTTTCTGAGAGCTTTTTACTGTAGAAACTTAAAATTGAAAACTCGAATTGGTGAAATGAACGAGGCCTAGTATGTAATAATAGATAAAAAAGAAGACAAAATAAATAAACCAAATTTTTGAGTAGTATCTAAACAGAAACTCTCCTTTATAATATAGTGAAAACTCGAATCGGTGAAATGAACGAGACCTAAATGTGACATTTTCTGAGAGCTTTTTACTGTAGAAACTTAAAATTGAAAACTCGAATTGGTGAAATGAACGAGGCCTAGTATGTAATAATAGATAAAAAAGAAGACAAAATAAATAAACCAAATTTTTGAGTAGTATCTAAACAGAAACTCTCCTTTATAATATAGTAATAGATACTTTATAATATAGTAATAGATAGTAAGTATAGATAGATATATATATATATAATTATGATTATATACACGTGGCATACGTATAGGTTACTACTTAAGTCAGAGACCAGATACAACTACTCAAGTCCATTCTGGTTAGCCCCCTTGCGCCTTTCTCTTCCCGACGATTGCCATCTCTGCCTTGCATCCATACGCTCTCAATAATTGTTGTCCTTAATTATGTTACTATTTCTATGTCTTTATTTTCTTGAAAAAGAGAAAAAAAAAAATACAGAACAAAAAGTTCTTACAAGGTTGGAATCTCCTAACGCAACTCTACCTGGTGTGGGCACATTAGTGAAAGTTACTTCTATTATAGTTTTGACTTTATTTGTATTTATTTTCATATTCAGAAATCTCTTGATTTTAGTTTCAGTTAACATATAGCTGATTATGCGTTTGTAATGTCTATTAATATGTAACCTCATTTTCATAATTTTCTTATTAGTAAACATTCTCTCTTTTTTTATATGGATGGATGCAGACACATTATCGAACCATGTTAAATCTCTGTTTTTTTTCTTATTTAATTATTATTACGTTCAAGATTCCTTCCTCCAATTTTCAGCATACATTACTTCTTGACAGGTTCTACCCTATCCATCGATATAACTTGGGCTCTTTTGTTTCACAGATCAACTCTGATTCACACAAGTTTGGTCTATGTTTGATGTACCTCGGGATAGTTGTTATATAATATATATATATATATATATCT